GGTGACTAAAGCTAGACGTTGATGTTCTGGCGGTGACTAAAGCAAGACGTAGCTGTTCTGGCGGTGACTAAAGCAAGACGTAGCTGTTCTGGCGGTGACTAAAGCAAGACGTAGCTGTTCTGGCGGTGACTAAAGCTAGACGTTGCTGTTCTGGCGGTGACTAAAGCTAGACGTTGCTGTTCTGGCGGTGACTAAAGCTAGACGTTGCTGTTCTGGCGGTGACTAAAGCAAGACGTTGCTGCTGGAATTTTTAAAGTATGACTGCATAAAATTGTAAGGCGGTAGTTGTAGCCAATAATCTCTTATCTGTCTTCACTGCGTTGTATCTGTCTTTATCCTGTTAGTATCCGTCTTTATTTCGTAAAATCAGCATTGATTGCGTTTTATCAGTCTTTCTTTCGTTGTATCAGTCTTAATTTCATTATATCCGTCTTTATTTCGTTAATGACCTGGAAGATGACACCAAGAAGATTGGATACACCTGGGGACAGTTGGAGAGACAAGCCCAGGACAGAGACGCCTGGAAAGCTCTTGTCAGCGGCCTATGTCCCAGGAGGGACGACAGGCAAACCTAGCCATTTCGTTATATCAAAGAAAGAACGAACGTGCTCGTGGGCTCAAGTTGTTGGCTCCAAGAACCATCGATCACAAGCAGCAAAGACAATTTTGAATCGAGTGGGGGGAAAGCAACATTGAAATCGACAATCGCCATTAAACGTGAAACAGGAAAGCGATTTGACCTTCTGTAAACATCACTTGAACATGAACTCTGACCTCTGACAAAGTTGTGCTATGATATGAAAAATGCCCTGTAAACTGGTGCTCTCTCGATGTACGACATAAACCAGACACCAAGAAACTAGGCCAAGTACCAACATGAGTCCTGTAATGTCCCAGGTCACATCTAAATATAGCTACGTCACTGAGCCTGGCTGGGCGAGCAGCTCACCTGCAAACGCTTATATGTCACCTGTAAACAAAAGAAAGCGAGTTTTGTGTGAGCATCGCGCGATGCACGTGCGGCATGTTTGTAATTTAAACTGGTCTTTAGATGGTCTGCTGGTCCCCTGCACGGGTTCAGGCTGTTCAAAGACCTCCGTCTGTACTTGATTGTCTTCTATATGAGTCACGTACCAGGTTCCTTAGGCTAATACACTGACCACACGAATCAAAGCTTGTTCATCCACATTCAAGTATACAAGTTAATCATATGCTGGTCATTGTTATACAGTCGGCTCTGTATGGCTCTAGACTCACTAATGACGGGTGTACTAATGTCACCATAACCGGGGAGACGCGACCAAATGTCAATGCCCGCTAGATTGCCCGTGCACGCTAACAGCTCAACCAACCTATGTTGTCGTGTACGTCATGCCAAGGGGATCCGCAGGTTAAATTCAAGCTTGACACGGTGCCGACTCACACACCAGAGGATGATTGACAAAACTGACTCACACACCAGAGGATGATTAACGTGAGAAATTAACGTCTGTTGATGCTAGAGATTGTATGATGAAGTTGACTACACCAGCAAACGTGCAACCACGTGTCACTGCCAGCACCCTAGATTCAGCCTGACCTTGACATTTATCTAGCTGCCATACCTGCATTCGGAACAAAATTAATGTTCTCATCTTTAAAAAAAATAATTCAAAGCATAAAGACGCAAATAGCTCGTCTTAAATAGCACAACCCAAGGTCATGGTATGAAACCAGGCATGCAAAATATTATTGCTGGATTAGAGGGGGAAATTTTAAAAAAAACGAACCGCGAGGTCAGGAAAAATAATTTCCCTGGGTGCTAGAGGCAGATAACAGGCCCCACCCACAGCTCTGGTTTCACAACTTGTAGCGGCGGTGAGTTCTGCTCAACCTCACCAAAATATGAATCAACTTGACGGTAAATCGTCTCTAGCTTACCACAAATGCTAGCCACTGGCCTAGACAATGTCATGTTCACATCTACAACACCACGTGACTTATAGTATCGACTTATTTTACTTACATTATCCCTTCTGAATTCTCTCTCTATTTGTGTGTATATGCGTGCGGGTGTTTAAAGTACATTCGCGCCATTAAAATCTATAATTCGGTAAAAGCAAATGTTTGAAAAAACGTGAGATAAACCTCCATTAAGTATCAAAGGTTTGTAGTTGGTGCGTGTGTGTTTACATTTCAGCCAAGGACACGGCTCACCAAGCGAGAAACGTATCAGCCACCCCCATGGGGGCAAGAATTTTGGTTATGTTCCAGTCCTTGTTTTTTTTTAAATCCTCGTTGGAAGATGCAGATCACGATTTGAATAACTCGTGAATCTAGCGAGGTTGTGTGGGTTCAGATCATACGCTCATATGCAAGGTCAGCAACTTGTTCCGGGCGGGTTATGACAACCCCGTATGCTTGTTAAATAGCTCTAAGCAATAAACGAGTCATTTTTTGTAGTGAGTTCTCATCTTATGGAGTCAGATATAGCGTGGCCCAGCTCAGGCTAGCTACTAGCCAAGGCAACTATTCAGCGTTCAGAGTCAGATATAGCATTCAGCGTTATGGATATAGTGTGGCACTATTAAAGCAAGCGACCGACTTGAGCCAAAGCAATTCTCCAGTCTCACAATAAGCCAAATGTCTGGTTTAAATCCAGGATCTGGCGTGGCCCCTCTTACAATCTGTCTCACCATTGGATTCTGTATTTGCTAATCCCGTCAGACCTCTGCTATCTCCCCTCTAGATGGCAGCGGCAGAAGCATAACTCTGCCATAACCTCTGCACCTTGTCGCCACAACCTACCACTGAAGTTTGATGGGACGTTAGCCTAATGTTGCCAGTGAATGGAAAGGTTTTGTCTAGTCTAACTTCATTGATAGAAACTGGATCACGTGCCTCGCATAGCGACCATTTCATACATTCTCACAAGCTAGACAAATTCCAGTTATTTAACCCATGGTTTGCTAAAATAGGTTTCTCCCTCCACCTAAACAGGTTTTGAAAAGCTCAGAGATTCAAAAGCTCCCCGGTCTGGTATAAAACTGACGGAGGGAGAACCTAACAACTAGCATCCACTGAGGCGGGCACCATGTCGTATAACTGGCCTTTTGTTCCTGGCGAGGGAAGGGATTGTATTAGAAGACAAAGCCTGCTGTAGATGGCAGGGATTGTATTAGAAGACAAAGCCTGCAGTAACCACCAACAGTTGGTGCATCCTGGCTAATTGTAAGCACAGGTGGAATAACGTCGGTGCACGGAAGGAAAGGTTGCCCTGAGTACACCACCCACCTCTACAGGACTTGGTCACGTGATACGGTGATACGGTGCTAGAGTTCACTGCAAGACGTGACAGGTAGACTCGGTCACGTGCTAGAGCGTACCCAATGAAATGTCTCAATACAAGTGACCGTGTGTTTGGCTACACAATCAAGTGACAGACATTTGACTGAACATGACACACACCTACTGTAACAACAACCTTCATTGAGCCTGGCAGGTTAGTTATGCCAACAACAACAGCAACTCATGGCACAAGTGTAGGAGGCCACAGACCGGCATTAGGCGGAGTATGGTTGGGGCTAACCCATGAACCGCTAATCAGTCCTATCATTAAACCGTCTAGACGAGAATTACAGTCGCCAGGTTTAATCGTCGACCACAACTGCTGACGTTGACCGAACTCGGAAACTGTGCAACTAGGGAGGGGCTGGATATGTTCAGGGAAATGTTTCATACAACAAATACATTACATATACATGTTTGAGTGTATGTACATCCATCCTGTTTACTCATGACAATCCTATCGAGCTGGTTTAAAATGTTGTTAATGTCGGTATTGCCAATACCCCCAAGTGATTGAACCAATCCTTAAGTTAATCATCACTGTACGTCACATGTGTGGCTCAGCCTTCACGAGAGAGAGGGGGGGGGGGGACAGGACTGACGGAGAAAGTCTATTACAAGCTTCTCGCCGTCTTAATTAAGGTGCTGACTAGAAGCAATGAACCAACTCCGGGAAGATTAACGGTGTAATGGATATACAAGTGCCTTTACCGACTTAAAACATTAACTTCAACATATTTCCTTTAAACGGCTTTAGAGCATAGGTAATTTGATCTAGTGTTGACCATATTCTAAAAATAATATGCTAGAGCAGTTGCTTATCTTCAGTGTCTCTTGGTAATACTATTTCTAATTTATATTCAGTGTTTCTTTCAGACATTTTTACTTAGGGGGGTGGGGGGAACTTGAAACTTTCGGGGGGGGGGGGGGGCGCATTTAAACATTTATATTTCAGCGGTGTAGAAATTATTTATTTTTCTCATTCGTTTGAGGGGTGGGGGGCGTGTTTCGGATGAGCAGTGCCTCCATCCCCCTCCACCCCCCAACCCGAAGATATGCCCGAAAGAAACTGTAATCCTATCCCCCTGGCCATATGTTCCTCGCTTCTATCTTAATGCGACTTGAGTGATCAAATACCTTCATCATTTCGTGTCTAACTTTCCTTCACGGGATTTCTAACTGAAACCATACGCCAGTTGAGAAACTTTTTAATCTAGTTGTCTACACTGCCTGCACCTTCCAACTTCCTACACCCTTGTCCAAGAATAATACCCACAAATCAGGTACTCGTGCACTTTAACAATCGGGAGATCGAGATATATCTATATCCTCAAGGATTTTCTAAAAATAGAAACTGAACGCGGTGATAGAGCGGAACAGAACTAAATTGTCTGTAACAGTCGTCAATGCTCGTATTCCAACCAGGCAAAGAAAAATAAAGCATCTAAGGGAACTCCAGACTAACGCTTACCTGTCAGATTCTACCTGTCTTTAAAGATTGGTATCAGAGTATGTGTCCACTATTTGCAATGTATTTGTAATGTTGACGTATCAGTACCCGTCACATACGTGATGTTTACATGTTTTGTTGTGTATTTATATCGAGGTGTATGGTAGTAAACAACTTCCATAGAGAGGGCAGAGAATTAACCTTTAGACCTTTGACCTTACAGACTGCCTGGAGATCTACGAGGCCGGCCACCGGCGCAGTGACGTCTACTACATCAAGCCCCTGTACACGGGCTGCCCCATCCCCGTCTGGTGCGACATGGACTCGCCCAACGCCGGCTGGCTGGTCATACAGCGGCGCAAGGACGGGACGGTCGACTTCCGCCAGCTCTGGGACAAGTACAGGGCCGGTTTTGGTGACGTCAGTGGTGAGCACTGGCTAGGCAATGACAACATTTTCCTGCTCACCAACCAGGGGCGGTACCAGCTGCGAGTGGACCTGTGGGACTTCTCAGGGAACAGGGTCTACGCCATCTACTCGAGTTTTAAAATTGATGGTGAGTCAATGACGGTTGGTAGTGAAATAGTCTAAAAGTGCAACTAGTTAATTGATTAATGATATTACATTTTAGTCGTCGATGGGGCAATTAACATTTTTTAAAGTAATTCTGTCACTGACTTAATGACGCCAGATTGTATCATGTACCCATTTATAACAGTGTAAACCTTGTGTCCGGCAGGTGAGAGAGACGGGTACCGGCTCCACATCTCAGGGTTCAGCGGCAGCGCCCAGGACTCCCTGCACAACCACAACAACAAGAAGTTCTCCACCACGGACCGCGACAACGACGCCCGGCGGGAGGCCAGCTGTGCCCAGGAGTGGGAGGCCGGCTGGTGGTTCGACAACTGCTGGTTCGCCCTGCTCAACGGACCCTACCACAACAGGAGCGACGTCTCCTGGAGGGGCCTGGCCTGGAACCACTGGAAGAGGGAGCAGCTCAAGGCATCGGAAATGAAAATTCGTCCGCTAGAAGTCGGACAGCCTGATCCTGACGATTAGAAGAATTCCCGAATGACATGTACACTAGGTTTTAAACTGCTAGCAAGTCGAGCTCTCATATGCTTAGCTTAGTTGAACATCTACAGGCATGAGTTTATTAAACAGAGATACTTTGGGTATTTGTACACTAAATTAAGCTTACATATTCATCTACCATCTCGACGATGTTTGTCTTTAGAAGACGAGTATTCGTGTAAGACTTGCAGAAGTTAGACGCTTATGTCAGCTAATGTGTTTGTTACAGTGCAATCAGCTGAATTATAATTCTTAGACTTAGTCATTACACATGTTTCCAATAGGTAAGAGATAATTAGACTAGCCCATCTTGCCAAATGATCTCAGAGAGCCGTCGACCTGTTGCTATAGAAACTAAAGATAGGACGTGGTCAGCTGACGGCAGACCCTGTCAATGTACTCAGTGGCCGCGAGTGTTCCGCTCGTGTGACTAGACTAGCAAACGAATGGCTGATTGGTTGTTTGATTCTACTGCTCGTGCATCATATAACAGCTGTAGTAAAAAAAATGTACGCTTTTAGGCTACAAAAGTAAGAATGTAAAGTGCGCTTTTAGACTGTTTATATAACAAATGTACAGTACGCTATGGTGCTCTATGATGTAGAGTACATCTATTGTGTGTGAAATGGCCATAGGACGGGTGTGCGTGGACAGCATTTGTGTTATGAAGAGAATCTGTGGACATGAAAGGTGAAGACAACACGTGACATGAAATGCTCACGACACTCGTACTTCATTGTGTATGGATCACTCATCAACCGTTCAACTGTGTGTAGTTCTTCCATGATACCAGTTTAGTGAAAAATGTTTCTTTCTACAAAGCCGAATCCACGCAGTTTTTGGCCATTATGCAGCTTTATATTAAATTAGAATCTGCATTAAAAGACAGGTGTCCTGTCGTTACAAGTCTTGTGTAATGCTAGCTCATTAAATATTGTGAATATGCACATATTTTTATGTCAAACTGTCTATGACCATGGGTGGCTTCCCTTTCGGTAGGTAAATTTCTTGGATGACTTCCCCTCCCGACTTTTAATATGTTTTTCCTGCAACCATCTGGGTCAAAGTATTTGAATACATTTGACATTGTTCATTTCTTACAATACACTTGAACTTTTAAAAACCTGTTTTTAGACGTTCGGATGTTGCTATTCAGGACGCTACTGAACCCATCCAGTAGAACGAGTTGTCTGGATGTAGTTCTTAGGGAACATCATTACACCACACAAGGGGGTGTGGGCTTGCACACTTGAGGCTTAGGGTATGGGGCTTAACCTACGGGGCTTACACGCTTGGGGCTTACATGTGTGGGGCTTACTGCGCGGGGCTTACACGCGCGGGCTTCCATGCGCTGCACTTTAACTCCATGGTTTATTTATGGGGGCTTGTGTTTTGTAGGTGAGGCACGAGGTGTTGTCAAACAAATAGAGCAGAAGATAGAATGGAGACCAAAGAATGGAGACTAGCAGGTGGTTCGTGTAAATAGAGATGATGCGGGGGGGGGGGGCTTGCTTAAGGGTGGGGATGGCTTGCTTTGGGGAGGACTTACATGGGGGTGGGGATGGCTTGAATGAGGGTGGGTGGGGTGGGTTATATGGTGGTTGGGTGGCTCACATGAGGGTGGGGGTGACTTAATTAAGGGGGAAGTTGGTTTGCAGAGGATTGGGTGGGGGTAGGTTATATGGGGGTTGGGTGGCTCACATGGGGGTGGGGATGGCTTGCGTGGGGTGGGGTGGGGGTAGGTTATATTGTGGTTGGGTGGCTTGAATGAGGGTGGAGTTGGCTTGCAATGGTGGAGTTGACTTGCAATGTGCAATAGAACATGGACAAAGGTTTCAACTTGACTTTAAAACTCCCAACATTCACTTGTTTATTTACATAAGGCACTGATAAATCGCCTATACACAGCTGTTGGAGCACTGAACGCCGTATTTCCAGGTGAAATAATTGAAGTAATTCAAGTGGTGATAAAAGCGACGGTTCTCGAGAAGTCACTTGGGATGCCGACACAGGGCAGAAGGGTTGTACGGGGAACACAAGACGCCTTCATCTCGTGTTCAAACTAATGAGACAATCAAGAGTCAGCTGACTCGGGCTAGCATAGACCACCCACCTATGAGACAATCAAGAGTCAGCTGACTCGGGCTAGCATAGACCACCCACCTATGAGACAATAAAGAGTCAGCTGACTCGGGCTAGCATAGACCACCCAACTATGAGACAATTAAGAGTCAGCTGACTCGGGCTAGCATAGACCACCCAACTATGAGACAATAAAGAGTCAGCTGACTCGGGCTAGCATAGACCACCCACCTATGAGACAGAAGAGTCAGCTGACTCGGGCTAGTACAGACCACCCACCTATGAGACAGAAGAGTCAGCTGACTCGAGCTAGCACAGACCACCAGCCAATGCCTGTCGAGGTTTGACCAGAAAGAAGTGCTAATTGATAAGACTTTCAATTGTAAAACAGGCGTCTATGCTATGTTTTTCTCAATCAGGTCTTTGTAAAGAAATGATAAGACAATTGTGAAACCGAGGCGGTACACTGCTTGTCTTTATGTTGCACTGGGCGTGAAATTAAATACGTTTAAACGTCAAACGATTGGAAGATAAAACTAGATGTTATAACTAAAAGCTTTTAATTAGTTCACAATGTCGGCCTCTCCATCTATTTGCGGGTAATCTTTTAACTCAATTTAGCCCACTTCTAATGCAGCGATTTCGTTGTAGCATTTCAGAAACATTTGTTTCAAATGACAATGCAAAAATATCTCATTTTCAATCTAAATTAATTGTGCAAGTCAGTCGGGTGAGCTGTATTTACGGAATTATTCATTCAAGAATGCTGCTCACTGACTAGTAGGTGTAGATAATTGTCGATTAGACAAAACCAATATTTTAAGTTGTGAGTTGGTCGACTAAATTAGAATAAACTGAATTTATAAATAAGATATATAAATATATGAACAAAGTAAGAAACGTGGCTTTATATTTATTGAGTTAACTGCTGCCTTTTCTCTACAGCTATTATGACATTTGTTGATAAATAAAATATCTGTAATCAGGTCATCTGTTATGTATTGACTAATTATATATATACATATATATATATATATATATATATATATATATATATATATATATATATATATATATATATATATATATATATATATTGTGGTACAGTAATAATAAGTAGTGAATGAATGTAGCATGTGTACGATGAATGTAGACTTTTGAATGCACCATGCAAATATGTATTCTGTGGATGAGCGTCATAAAGGAGCTAGATAAGTCTGGTGGCAAACAGTGCAGTTGGCAGTCAACTGAACACGCCCTTTACGTCAGTGACTGGCCTTCGTTTACACTTGGCCTTTTATGTTTCTACTTAATGTCGTGTTCAGGTGTCAGGAGCTTTAAATGTTTAACTTAACGAGCCATCATTGTCAGCCCATGGACACCTCATCGTGTGGACGGCTTGAAGATTTGAGTGCCTTTATAACGGTATGAAATGGTGCAGACACAGCCAACATTTTGTCATCTGCTCTCACATTTATGTGTCTCTGTGACTGGTGAGATTGGCTTCTATATGAATGGGTGTTACAGATGTGGATGATTGACAAGGTAAACTTCTATTTGTTAAAGATGTGCCTGAATAACTAGGTAATGTGCTAGTTGAATCAATGCTTGAGTTGACTTGTGTACAATAGCTGACTGTGTAGAGCTTTTAAAATACTAAGTTCTTGGAAATAAATGGCCCGCAAGTTTCCCCATCGTTCACCTTGTTTCTATCGTTATGACTAGCTGGGGCTGCAAGTGTCAAGTCCTTGTTACAACTGAAACTTGTTCCCAGGTCAACTTGTTTCTATCGTTATGACTAGCTGGGGCTGTAAGTGTCAAGTCCTTGTTACAACTGAAACTTGTTCCCAAGTCAACTTGTTTCTATCGTTATGACTAGCTGGGGCTGTAAATGTCAAGTCCTTGTTACAACTGAAACGTGTTCCCAGGTCAACTTGTTTCTATCGTTGTGACTAGCTGGGGTTGTAAGTGTCAAGTCCTTGTTACAACTGAAACTTGTTCCCAGGTCAACTTGTTTCTATCGTTATGACTAGCTGGGGCTGTAAGTGTCAAGTCCTTGTTACAACTGAAACTTGTTTCCAGGTCAACTGAATTGTACTGTTAAGGAAGAGTGGTGCTAACTACACCACCCTGTAATTTCTTCATAAAAAACATAACGGAACCTTAGCTTTTACATTCACTTGGTCACATAAATAAGCCATCAGTACATTTGCTTTATATCCAAACATAAAGAAGAAAATAGAGTGCACTAGTCCAGCCAAACATAAAGAAGGAAATAGAGTGCACTAGTCCAGCCAAACATAAAGAAGGAAATAGAGCGCACTAGGCTAGCCAAACATAAAGAAGAAAATAGAGCGCACTAGGCTAGCCAAACATAAAGAAGAAAATAAAGTGCACTAGTCTAGTCAAACATACAAAAGGAAATAGAGTGCACTAAGCTAGCCAAACATAAAAGAAGAAAATAGAGTGCACGTGTTTAGTCTAGTATAAAGAAAATAGAGTGCACTAGTCTAGTGAAATATAAACAAAATAGAGTTAAAAAAAACGTGTCTAAAACTCACCTTGTTATAGGTAAAAAGCTAATGAGCAATACTGTACGTCAATTTATTTTAAACGAGTTCGCGGCCAATAAACCTTTTAAAATCTAATTATCCCTAGACAAACATTGGCTTTTTAAGTTAAAAATTCTGCACTTGAAGCAATACTGAGGTAGCTCTCTATACATCCAAAGGTAGGATTAGATAAAGGACAAGCAATACTGAGGTAGCTCTATCCAATTATCAAGCCATACTGAGGTAGCTCTATCCAATAGACAAGCACCACTGGGGTAGCTCTATCCAATGGACAAGCAATACTGAGGTAGCTCTATCCAATGGACAAGCAATACTGATGTATCTCTATCCAATGGACAAGCAATACTGAGGTAGCTCTATCCAATAGACAAGCACCACTGGGGTAGCTCTATCCAATGGACAAGCAATACTGATGTATCTCTATCCAATGGACAAGCAATACTGAGGTAGCTCTATCCAATAGACAAGCACCACTGGGGTAGCTCTATCCAATGGACAAGCACCACTGGGGTAGCTCTATCCAATGGATAAGCAATACTGAGATAGCTCTATCCAACAATAATCTTGATAGACGCTAAGGATTTCATTAAGGCTACCACAACCTTAATTGATGCTATGGGTTGCACCACAGCCCTGATGGGTTGCACTTCGGTTCCCAGCGGTAACCCTATAACGAGCCAATAAAAATGCCCCAGGCTGAGGTCGGGGTGTCGGGAGACAACTGCCAGATGTACAAAAACTGGCATTGAAAATGATTTTAGAACATGTCAGTACAACCATCAGTCTGTCCGTGCCTTACATAGCAAGCAACAAGTCTGCAAAAAGTCTGACATGTTTACCATGTCAGACTGACACGGAGCTTTTTGTACTGTCAAACGTTTACGGCAGTTACATAAACGTTATGGTCTCAGTTGCGATAGCGCCTTGTTCAACCCAGGCACAGACAATATCGTCTTTGCTTTATTTAAACCAACGGCCAAAACATGGTCTCAGTCTCACTAAAACTAAGAAAAAAAAATAAAACATTAAAAAACACCAATAGATGTGTTGTTGGCATGATGACACCAATAGATGTGTTGTTGGCATGATGACACTAATAAATGTGTTGTTGGCATGATGACACTAATAAATGTGTTGTTGGCATGATGACACCAATAGATGTGTTGTTGGCATGATGACACCAATAGATGTGTTGTTGGCATGATGACACCAATAGATGTGTTGTTGGCATGATGACACCAATAGATGTGTTGTTGGCATGATGACACCAAAAGATGTGTTGTTGGCATGATGACACCAATAGATGTGTAGCTGGCATGATGACACCAATAGATGTGTTGTTGGCATGATGACACCAATAGATGTGTTGTTGGCATGATGACACCAATAGATGTGTTGTTGGCATGATGACACCAATAGATGTGTTGTTGGCATGATGACACTAATAGATGTGTTGTTGGCATGCTGACACCAATAGATGTGTTGTTGGCCTAACCCACTAAAATGTCTGCCTTCTATAGAAGTTTTCTCCGTGAGTTGTGTACAAGACTCACCCTTGAGCAC